CCACGAGCCCGACCCGCACACATGCTCGAGCGAGAGGCGTCTCATGCAAGCGTGCGAAGTATAAAGTGCGCCATCAAGTGCCCTTGCACCCATTGGATCTCCCTATGAACCGGGCTCACAAAAAGATAATGAGCCATGAACCCGACCCGCACACATGCTCTGGCGAGAGGCGCCTCAAAGTGCGTCATCAAACGCCCTTGCACTCGCACACGTATGTGCGCGTGCTCCGTACATGTGCCTCATCTCTATTTTATACTTAAAGTATATTGCATAGAAATGCGTAGTCTTAAATACACATCAACAAACCTCTCCTCTTCAGTGTAGGACTCAAACCCACATCGTTCTCTCTCTACAAAGCGTTTTAGAAAAGAACAATAAAACTAAAATGATTGTTTTGAAATACTCTTAAGCATTTTTCAAACCAAAAATAGTAACACAATATTTGGATCGAAGCCCGACCCTCTACCCGGACCCAAGTTAGGTCTTGGGAGCCAGGTTGGGTCAGAAAAGGTACATTTCAAAAGAGTGTAAGAAAAGATTGGTCTAGTTACCCCATAAAGAGAAAAGAGGTCCATCTCAAAAGAGGGAAAGAAAAGAATTGTCGGTCCACATCTTCAAATCAAGTGAGAGGTGAGAGAGGCCGCGTCAATTTTTGTACCAACCTCACTTCCATGTCACGCCCAATGCCTTCCACAACTTTCTCTTTGGTGAGACATCTTCACAAGAATGCCTTTCTACCGCATAAGGATGGTGAGGCACATTTGTCATACCTTGAATCTTAGATTCAAATGATCTCTTGCTCCTGCATGACCATGCATCCATTTGCTCCTTCAGCTAAAACCTTAAGATAGGAATAACTTTGTGACCCTAAATTTTGGATATATATATATATATATATATGAGTAATGATCCTATGAGACTTTCCCACACCCATGTATGTAGGACTCCAAAAGATCACCATTAAATTTGAATAGATGTTTAAAAAAGTTATCACATAGGTGTAAAACTTAACTTTTCTAGAGATTTGTACTAAATTTAATGATGACCTTTTGAAGTCCTACACACATGGCTATGAGAGGGTCTCATAGGATGGGAGGGTCTCATAGGATCATTACTCTATATATATATATATATATATATATTGTGTAATTAACCTGCGAAAAAAATATCATGAGATTGAACATAAAACGTCTAATTTTTTGTAGTTAAATTTAAGTATTTAAGAATTTAAAACTTTAATTTTTAATAATCATCTAGTAATTGTTAGCTGAATCTTAAAATTTTAAATAATATTTTTTAGGAAAATATCTTGGTACACCCTTTTTTAACTTTCAGTTCTCAATAGACTCAATGTTTTAAAATAGTTCTAGCAACATAGAAGATATATCTTCTAACCCACCAAGTTTATCCCTTTTGACCCATCGTTTTAGCCCAAACAAAATTTCAAAAGACGTCATTAATTTATTCATTTATAAACCCTCTTCTCTCTCTATTCTCGTATTTCTTTCCCATTTTTTTTTTTTTTTCAATTTTTATTTGCGCTTTAAAAATAGATTAAAGGGGGTAAAGTAGATATTAGGAGTTAAAAAATATAATACATGAAATCTCTATGCCTGTATACATGTTTTAAAACATTGAGTTTGTTGAGAAATGAAACTTAAAAAGAGAGTGTACACATATATTTTTCCAAAATTGCTCGTTTGCCTTGGGCTTAATATACTACCGGAGCATGCTAGATATTTTTGCCCATGGCCCTTGGTGCCCTTCAAATGGGGCTTTGAAGAGGACACGTCTTCATGTGAGAGAAAGAGACATTCATTGTCACTTACTATAAGAAGAGCCACGTCTAATAATTCATGGCATAAGGTAAACTTGTGGTCCCAAAAAAATCTAAGAAATAAGAATAAGACTTGGTTCTTAATTGGAAAGGAAAAGACTTGGTTCCCTTTGGGAGAGAAGGCTTGCTCCTTATGTGCGAAGGAAGAGGCTCTGGCAACTAAGAAAACCAAAGTGTAAAACTATAGTTATCTCAACCTCATATTGAGGGAAAAACAAGAATAATAGTTCAAATTTATGAAATATATTAGAAAAAGGTTTTTCAAATCTATTGATTAGTCAAAATTCAATTGGACGGTTTAACTAGTCATTTTGACTACTTTATGATCAAACTACGTTATTGTTTTAGATCAGACTAATCAAGACACTAGTCGGCTACTTATCGAATGGTACAATCTGATCTTAATAAACATGTGTAAAATAATAAGATTATCTTGCGTGTTTACAAGAAATTATCCACGAATGGTATGTGCTTAATGGTTGAGCAAAATGTTCAAAAATAATTCTTTATAACGGTTTTGGGACCCAAACCAGGGCAGCCAAAATAACGGGGTTTAAATGGTAAAGTATAAAAGTCTAAGAGGCATCAATTGAAAAATCTTGGGTATTATAGATTTTATGGCAGATACATTTGAAATGTACCAGATGTAAAACTTTGCTATGCAAAAGTTGTGTCATTCTCTATCCAGTAGTTTCTATAAGGCCTAGGCTTTAAGAACAAAAAATAATGCCTCACTTCAAAACCTGATGAAAATACTTTGGACATGGGAAATCTATGACCGTTCTAAAATTAATTGCCACAACTTAAAGTGAAATTTGTAGCTCAAAAAATAATACAGATCTTGTGGATTTATAAAACACTTGATAACGGACAGTCTGGATAATGTGTTGAAATCCTAGTTTATTTAACAATTAGAATGATCAAAGGTGAGATGATTGATTTGAAGTGAGGCTTTACTTACTTTGATGGGGCTGCAGCCCTATCATAACATTTTCTTTAAATATAATCGAAAAAGTTATATATATATCTAGCAGGCGGGTTTTTGGAGAAAGCAGCGTTGATATGGGCCGCTTTCTTCACATTTTAAAAAAAGGGTATATCAGCTGTCATGCGTTTATATAACGGCCGTTGCAAACCTCAAAATAATCGACATCTGACCATTCTCGGCGCTTCAGTATTGGGATACGTGGTGCCATGACTATATATCGCCACAAGCAACGTCGATTGTTAAATTAGCCGTTATTTTCGATTTCCTAAAGTTTTCATGGAACCAAGGTAACCCATGAAGGGTTATCGGCCGGGTAACCGTCCAGGTAGGAATTGGGTAGGCAAATAAGTATTTAAAAAAAGTAAAAATCCAAAAAAATTTCCAAAAAATAAAAAATATGTTTAAAGTAAAATTAAATAAAATACATGTAAATGAGGTTAAAAAAATAGTGAAAACAATAGATTTTGAAAAAACAATTTGAGACCAAGTATATTTTAAAAATAATCCAAAAAGAAAGAAAAATGTAAAAATAAGTATTCACAAATAAAATATCTATAATAATATTTTTTTTGAAATGATAAAAAACATATAAAAATACATTAAAATAAATTTCTTATTTTTTGATTTTTTAAATAAATTTTTATAGACTTTTTACAAACTTGAGGACTTGACCACCAAAACCAGGATTAACCAGACCCGCCCATGGGTTGGTTCTGGGTGACCCAGCTGGGTGCGGTTCAGCTCAGCCGGTTTGTCTAACGCTGATCCTGATAATGATACATCATGCATGAAACTATAAATATGTTTGATCTCCATTGTCGTGCACTCGTAGTGCATGTTGGACCCCCATGTGGTGTACCATATCCAATGGACAAGACTTAAATATGGAAAGTGCACCTTTTTTCCTCCTTTTGGGAAAGAAGAGTAGGACATTGTTTGCCAATAAATATGGTGAAGTCTTAGATAGTACCAGCAACGTGCATCAAACTCACATCTCATGCCTAATGCTAATTGATAGAGGAGACCACTCAATCAATGTAAAATCCAACTAAATTTTATATTTCTTTTGCTTTCATTGTGTACTTTGCTATTTCCTTTTTATGTGTTGGAACAAATTAAGGACCATATTTGGTCCTTATATTATTAAATGCTACTAGTCATTTTTCTGGAATTTATACGGAGACCACTCTCATCTCGTCGCCTTTTTTTTTTTTTTCCCCTTAAAATTACCTACATATCCCATATTTCTAATATCAAACAAGTAGGAAATTTCCAAAATTTTTTATTTTTCTTATTTTCAAGATTTGTCCAATATCAGAAGGGCTATCTGACGTTTGCAATGTCAGAAAACCCCAAAAGTCAGGTCCTAGGGTGTCCGATGTTAGCAATATCATACCGTTGATATGCGGGTGTGCTTTTAAAGCCCTAAATCGAGCTTGTCCAAAATCTCAAATGCCAGAAAACTTAAAATTTAAAAAAATTGTAGATTCATCTGTCTGATATTTGCTAACATTGAACACTCAAGGAACTTGACTTTTGGGGTTGTCTGACTTCGCAAAAATCGAATAACCGAATCTCAACCCTACAAACTAGGCTGTTTGATATTTTTAATATCAGACAGACCTTGAATAAAAGAAAAATAAAAAATTAAAAAATTTCTCACGTGTCTAGTATTTGAAATGTTAGACAAGTAGGTAATTTTGAAAAAAAGGGAAGGGAGGGGGGGGGGGGGAGGTGGGGATGCTTTCTGCTTAATTTTTGCAAAAGTATGGACCATTTCATAATAAAGGGGGAAATATAGTCCGTATTTTTCCTGTGGTTTATTAAGTAACCAAAACATATATGCTCAGTTTTTACTTTAATAAAATTATTTAACGCTTTTGTTTCTGTTTTGATGGATTTAGAACGTTGAAATACTTACCCAAAAAAAAAAGAAAAAAAAAATTAGAACGTTGAAATGGAACCGGAATCAGGTCAACACTTCATGCGTAGGAAGACTAAAAAACAAATCCCCTTTTTTTTGAAAAAATAGCAACCTTTGAGGGGTCGAGGTGAGCTCGACGTGTAAATCCGACGGTCACAGAACGCCTCTCAGGCTTCGAAATCGATTCCAACGGTGGGAATTGAAATTCAGTAGACAGTTGGTGGCCTATTTATACCGATCGCATGGCTGAAAATTATGCAACCATTTTGCTCTGGATAATATGGCGTTAGAGATGGGGATAAATTCCTGTCCAATTCAAGCAAAACACACGGTCGAGGTTTTTCTTGAACTTGCAGTAACTGGTGGTGAGACTTTGATGAAATTGTAACGCCATTGAAGCTCTGAGAAGGAGGCTTAGGTAAGCATTTCTCTGAAACTTTAGAAGCTCTGTGGAGTAGGCCATCAAAAGCTTATGAGCTTTGAGAATTTTGCTAAAATTGAGTTAATGAACTGGAGATTTTGTGAAACTTGACGTTTTATCCGAATGCTTTAGCTGTTTGTGGGAGATGAGGTGTATATGACTAAACTAGAGCAGTTGAAGCTTGTTTCTGAAAGAGCAAAAGTGTTTTATGTCATCATATTGTGTTGTTTGCTTTCATGTAGTGCCAGATTAGCTTCAAATGCATAGAATTTATTGATTTTATGAAGAATTATGGCTGGTTGATGTTGTTTGAGGCGCATTTTAGCAGTAGGAACGTTTTTTTTTTTTTTTTCGGTTTCAATTTTGTTGATTACTGTTTTAACTTTTAAGTTTTGCTGGATCAGTCATTTTTGGTATCATGTCGCTTGTTTCATGGTTACTCTGTCACGTTTTAGCAGCAATTCTGTTTTTTGGCATTGCTTTCTTATAATTCTTCTGGTTTCATGATTTTCAGTATAATTTAAGCAGGAAAGCCTCTGTCGTTTTATAGATGTAAGAATGTTTCTGAAAGCTGAACCCGGGGAAGCTATGTTTCTGGACGATCTTTTGAGGTTTACTTGTATGGATTTAGTATTTTTTCCTCTATCTTGGAAGATCATCTTTTTTCATAGGCATCGTTGTAGGTTTATTGAATATCAGTTCCATTTTTGCTGGGTTGATCATCGTTTCAATATCTTTTTTTTTGTAGAATCGTAGTTTCTCAGTTCACTTGTGAAGGAACTGTATTTTTCTCGATATCCCTTGTGGAATTATCACTTTTTCAGTAGAAATTTTATTTACTTTTGTTATGTTTTAGGTGAATTCAAAGATCATTATTGTATAATTGCTATTGTTTTAGCTATATTTTTACTTGATCAGTTGTACCCAATGTAAAGGTTTCAAATGCCTTAGAGTGGGTATTTCTTATCTGGGTTTGTCATTTTTATCACTTCTTCAGTAGAAAGCTATGTACTTTTGTTACGTTTCAGGTGATTTCAAAGATGGCTTTAACAGAATTGTTATTGTTTTAGCGATATATTTACTTGAACAATTGTATCCATTGTTAAGGTTTCAAGTGCCTTAAATGAAGTATTTTTTTACCAGGATGTCATCTTTTAATAACAATTATTTTTTCAATATGGTTTTTAAGTACTGTATTAGTAAAAATACAGTTCTTTTAATATCAATTATTTTTTTAATAAGGTTTTTAAGTACCGTTTGGTAAAAATACAGTTTTCCTTTGACATTTCGTCAGGAATTATGTATTTTATCTGATACTTCTATTCCCTGGGCTGCAGAATTTAGCACTCTATTTTTGTATGTAACTTCAAATTTCCATGGCTTTGTCATTTTTCTGGAATTGATATATTAGATACTTCGTTAAGGATATCCTAAAACAAGAAAAATGGGAAGATAAACAACTGCAGATTCAGAAAGATCAAGGTCTTTTCCAATGGAGTTATGTTCTCATGCAATGGACAATTGAAACCATTCCCTTTGTAACAGGAGAACCACTATGTTCATGTGCCTTATCAATGATATTTCCTATTTTGTTGACCTGGGCTTCTTTATTCTTCCTAAAAGCATGACTTTCTGAAATTACTTTCATACCAATAACCTAATTGTCAATTGTGTTTGCAGATATTCATTCTTTTCTTTGCAAGACGCTTCACATGGCTGGGAGTTCTAATACGATTAATACATCGCAACGTCAATCACTTGAAATCTTCAATCTCAATGCAAATAGCAATGAGAAGACCGAGACAGAAGGCCAAAGTTATCAGATGCAGAAGGCTGGACCTCGAACTCCTTCTGGTCGGTTGCCTGTTGATAAATGGATGGCATTTGATAAAAATGAATTCCAAAATTCAAAAACAGAAATCAATACTTCATTGCTTCAATCTATGAAGAAAGGGAGGGAGCTATCTAATGGATCTGATATTGCAGATGACAATTCCTTGAAAGGAAACAGCAATAGGATCTTAACGGATGCTGGTATTGCTGAAAGGGCTGCAGAATGGGGCTTAGTGATTGAAAATGACAAAGGCGGGGGCAAAACAATAGGTGTAAGTCAAAGGTTATCAAAGGGGGGAAGCCAATTTGCTGAAGGGAATAGTGGGGGTTCCTTTAGAGCATCGGAACAATCAGACCCTGATTCATTCTTCCCTAGAGTTTCTCAAGAACTAAAGGATGCTTTGTCTACACTTCAGCAAACATTTGTTGTATCAGATGCTACAAAACCCGACTGTCCAATTATGTATGCAAGTGCTGGTTTCTTTAGCATGACGGGCTACTCGCCAAAGGAAATTATTGGCAGGAACTGGTATGTAATTCTCAGAAAGAAAAACATGCAATGCATGTATGTCTTGAAGTTAAATTAAGGCTCGATGCTCTTGTCTCAACTGCGTAGAGACTGCATCTTAATAGTCTTTCCCACAATAATAACATATAATAGTAATTTTGTATGCATTTTGTACCCATATGTACCCTGGCACTCCTTCCTTTTTCATTACATGCACATCTTTGACAATGGCCAATAGTTCCAATGACTCCATTTCCCTCCTAAGTAGATCTTTGTTGAGGAAAAGGATCCTAAACATACATTCAACGGTGACCTTACTACTTATAGCACCTAACCACTTTCACTTTCTTAGTGAAATTTAAACCTTATAAAGCTGATTTAATAAAACCTAGTCATGCCATTGATCCGGAACTTGGAAAGTATGCAAAGAATATTCATTTCTCATTAATAGTGTACCCCCTTAGGACTTATATGCAAACTACTAAAAGAACAATTATTGGTGTAGCAAACTAGAACATAAGAAATGTTCACGTCCAGGATATTTATTCATCTATGCTTCTCGTTTTCTTTGCTCTTGTGCTTTTTTCTGATGTGCCCTTAGCTGTATAGACTCTTCATACTTCGTATTTGCCTTATCTGCCTGTGGCAAACAAGATGGGCCTTATTTGCCTTATCTCTATAATTAGCATGGACTTTACTGACATTGTTTGTTAGGCATTGTCAAATTGTATTTGTTGAATGGATTGTTATGTTGTTCTATATTGATGCCGGAGCAACACCACCTAGCACTCTGCATTATTTTTATTCGAACTATTAGCATAATACACTTACAAATGTTTATACAGATTTGGGAGTTGTCTCATTCATATATTTGTTAAAAAAACTGCATTCATTTCATTGCAGCCGCTTTCTTCAAGGACCTGATACAGATCCTATGGAAGTTTCAAAAATAAGGGAAGCTCTGAGAACAGGGCAAAGCTATTGTGGGAGACTTTTGAATTACAAGAAGGATGGTACCCTCTTCTGGAATCTTCTCACTGTTACTCCCATAAAGGATGAGAATGGGAAAGTCATCAAATATATAGGGTTAGTTCTATAATTTTAGTAGCAGCTTATTTTCAGATTTTCTTTGTAGCTTCTACAGACCCTTCCTTCCCTTCAATAAGGTTATGCATTCCATTAGAACTTTTTACTGGGGAAGCCTAGGAGAGATGTTCTTCCTACTTGTGCGTGCTTGAAGTCTCCTTGAAATTATCCTTCTCATCATGAGTAGAGATTTGCCTTGCGGCTTTGGGGCTTTTGGCACTGTTCACCTCCCTTCTTGTCAAAATCATTACTTTATGATACCCCATTTCAAAAACTCTTGCTTTTACTGATTTACAACAATTTGGTTCCTTGAGTTATTAATTGGTGCCTCTACAATTTATTCTTCTGTCAAATTCCTTATCTTTTTCTTTTACTTTTTTTGAATTTCATTGAAAATGTTCTGAGAAATTTGAAGTGTATTCATCCTGTTTCAGAATGCAGGTTGAGGTTAGTAAGTACACAGAAGGCTTGAATGAAAAGGCTACACGACCCAATGGATTACCTAAATCTTTAATACGTTATGATGGTAAGTAATGCTAAAAATCATTTGTCAGCATTTTTAATTTAACTTCTCTCATTCCAATATTATGCAAATATGTTGTCCTGTTTATCAGCTCGTCAGAAGGACAAGGCAAGGTCTTCCATTACTGAGGTCCTTCAGATTGTAAAGCACCCACGCAGACACAGTCAAGTAGCATTTCATGAAATTCCTCGCCCATTTGATGGGCGTAGTGAGTATTTTCACGTTGATTCTCCCAAACCGAAAGTTGTGGAATCTGGAAACTTTATTTCACATGACAGAAGTTATTCCCAGGGGGATTCTAAAAACGGAATATCTGGGGTAAGTGAATATCCTGATGGTGGCAAGAAAACGAGAAAATCGCGAGTTTCCTTGATTGGGTAAGTTGTTTCTGCATGTTTACGTATTCATTTTCTTTCTCACTTTTGTCATGATTGCTTCACCTGCAAATTCTTTTTTTCTCATATGTCTTCTGTCTTCTTTTAAACAATATAACTGGTGGTTCCTACACGCAAATACATCCATATATGGATAAATAGTTACCTTTAGGCCATGATCATGGTGAAGCACTAGTCTACAATTACTTTTAGTGATAACTTTTCTTCACTTTTACAGCACATTTTATTTGTATATATTTGAGATCGCTAATATTCTGCTATATGGTAGTTGAATAAGAGAGAAGGGAAAAAAGGGTGGGGGGGAGGAAAAGAAAAGAAACCCTGTATTTTATAAGGGAACATCTGTTTGAGTTCTTTGTGGTATCTATTGAGAAATCATGCGCTAATTTTTTTTTTTTAATTGGAGAAGAGAACACCCGTCAACACCTCCAGAAACTTATATGCATGAGTTGTAGATAAAATTATCGGCATGCTCAACTCAAAGAATCTTTGAGAGCAGTGGACCTCATTGAAATGAACCGCAAATTCTTCTCTGCATATTTGAGAAACTCAAATGTGCAGATTTAATGATTACAATTGGAATTTCATTCGATAGCAACCAATGTGCTACACATTAAAATTATAAGTTCCAGCATTAAACTATTTCCTATGTCTTGGGAACAATGCAAAAATGAGCGATATGTGGTGGAACTGCAACTGGTATGACAGTCCAGTGAATGTCCCACTCTCGTGCCTCCGGTTGAAGGGTAGTTCCTCAATGACAACTGTCTGCTTCTACCTGTTGTTCATGTGGGTTTGGAGAAAGTGTAGCGTTGAATATGACAATGCAAGTAATTCCAGTTCAACACTTCATGTGCTCTTTTGTTAGTCAATTCAGTATTGCGCATTTGGTCTACCTGAATTCTGTCTCTACGTTTTATACCAGTCCTTGCACACCTGCGTCTAAAATATGCATATCTTGATAGGAGTTTGTCATTCTAAATCTGTAACTCATCCTAAGGTCAATAATGAAAATCACTTTTAAATGGGCGGTCATATGATTTCTTATCCTTGAAAGATGTATTTTATGCCTTTTTTAATCATGGATGACTAGTTCTCAATCGATATATCTCATATTGTTTTTTTGCCCATTTATATCTTAGGCTAATTTATGTTTGGCTGGAAATCTGTAATATTCTGGGTTGTGGGGAATGAGTAATTATTATTTATGTTCCTTATATGTGAGAATTCCATTGCTGTCATAGTCCTAATAATCTCATTATGTCTCAATGAATTTGCAGGTTTAGAGGGAGGGCTTCTAGTCTTGCAGAAAAGCGGGAGCATGTGCCAAGTGTTGAGCCTGAAGATCTAATGATCAAAGATACACCACTCTCTGACAGCTGGGAACATCTAGAAAGAGAAAGAGAAATTCGCCAAGGCATTGATTTAGCAACAACTTTGGAGCGCATTGAGAAGAATTTTGTCATAACTGACCCTAGACTTCCTGACAATCCAATAGTGAGAACAGATTCCATACTAGCTAAACCCGGATATGGTGGCTCTATCACGCATAAGAAAATAAGATTTTTACTGTTCTATAATTCATGCATGCTCATTAGTTACATGGGTGTCATTAACATGTCTATTGAAATTAATAACTGAGTTTGCAACAGGAACCTAGCCATTTGTAATTTCTTGAACTGGATGCCTCAAAATTGTGGACGACCTTTGTGAAATAGGAAATGTATTGATTCTGGAAAATTAATAACGGTCCTATTGTGTTTGGAATCTTAAGGATGTGCTTCTTGCAGCTCTTGCCTTATTTTTACTATCGCAAATGGGAGGCTGATTACATGGGTAACTAATCTTGCAGATATTTGCATCTGATAGCTTCCTTGAATTGACAGAATACACTCGAGAAGAAATACTTGGAAGAAACTGTAGGTATGTTTGTGATTCCTTATATATGCTTTGTTCTATTTACACATGCTTAGGAGAAAGCGTAGGTATCTCTCGGTAGTAATATATTTTAACAGCACCAATGTATGGATTTCATAGGTTTCTTCAAGGCCCTGAAACAGATCAAGCTACAGTTGATAAAATAAGAGATGCTATCAGAGATCAAAGGGACGTCACTGTCCAGTTGATCAACTATACCAAGAGTGGTAACAAACAAAAATTTTACTTTTGAGTATGGTGCATTTGTTATACATAAATATTTGGAGTTACAAAAATTAATATAATGTCTATTTATCTTTTCAGTCTTTAACGGTTTTGGCTCTTGTTGTTTGTTAATTCACTTACTACTAGAAGTGGGATGGATATATATATATATATATATATATATATATATATATATATATATTATTATTTCTTCTTTATTAGTTAGTATAAGTAGTGTGTGTCTTCTTGTTG